GGGGGGACGCCTGGGGTTCTTAAGTTGAATCTGTATGGAACTGGCGTCCAGATTCAGCCTGTTGAAACTGATCAGAGGCTGATTCCAGGAAGCTCAGGGCAGAGCAACTCTGCCTCGGGCTTCCTGTAGTCTGCCGCTGGTCAGTTTCAGCAGCGGCTGAATCTGGACGCCAGTTCCGACTTACATACAGATTCAACTTAAGAACAAACCTACAGTCCCTATCTTGTACGTAACCCGGGGACTGCCTGTACTGAAACACATATCAACAGAAGATCATTACACTGACTACTTTTTTGTTTCGGCTCCCTCTCGCCAGCCACGTGTTGATTCCCACATAAACCCAAACTGCACCGCGGGGCACTAACAAGCTGGCCATAGGCAGCATACCAAGTTATTAATAAATATTTTATAAACCTTGACCTTTTCTCTCTGCTGCCATGTCTCCACTCCTTGCGCCATCATCTCCCCTGGTGCCTGCTGCCCCCCAACTCCTCACCTTCCTCTGCTGTCCTGACTCCTGCCCTTTTCACTGCCCTCAGCCCTCCTGCGACCTGCCCCCCCTCCACCAGCAGTTCTCTCCCTCCTGTGCCCACTTCTCCAGCAGCCCCACTCTGATCATGTGAGCTACTCCTCCTCACCCCCTCTTCTAATACCTCCCTTTACACACCTGCCCTGCCTCTCTCCTCTGGTGCTGGTTCCTCCCCTGCAGGTGTCTGCCCTTCTGCTTCACCCCAGAATCCCTGCCCCTCTGTGCCCTCACACATGCCTTGCTCCATCTCCATCTTTCTCATACCCACCCCTCTTTTCAAGCCTTCACTCAGCATCTCCCCCTCTAGCCCCCAATGCCCTTCCCTTCTCCTCTCCTCTCCCAGCATCACCCTGTCCCCCCTCTCATTGACACCTCCCTTCCTGCCCTTTCCGTCATTGTCTGCACTTGGCCCCCTGGCATTTGTCTCCCCTCCCCCCACCCAAGCCCCTTCTCCTTCTCCTTCCACCCCTCCCCCTCTGCCTCCTCTCCTCCGCCCAAGCCCCTTCCCTTCCCCCTCCGCCGCCTCCTCTCTCTCGCCGCCGCCGCTGCCGCCACACGAGTGTTCACTACCTTCTGCCTTCCCCATTGCGGGGCCAGAGTCCGCACTCAGGCCCTGGAGGCTGAACCCGGAGCCAGCGAGGCCCTGCAATGTGCTTCCCAGGAGTTTCAAAATCCTGGGTCGTGACATCACATCACGGCCCAGGCGTCCTCCCCGCCCACATGCAGCACCGCACATGGACAGCAACAGGCGGTGAGGAGGAGCCGCGCACGACAGGGACATTTCGGGGCCAAGGGGGACGCTCTGGGGGTGGGGTGAGGGAACGCATGGGAAGGCCGGGGCCTGCTCCAGGCAGAGCTGGGGAGAGACCCAGCTCCGCATAGTGGTGGAGCAGGGCCCTGGCTCTGTAACTCGCTGGCACTTCCCGGTGCAGTGGCGCAGGGCCCCCTTAGGCTCGGGGCCCGATTCGGCCTAATCGGCCTAAGGCCGGCCCTGCCTACATGACCTTAACTCTGCATAGAGCTGGCAGTATCCACTGAGAAAGGTCTATATGCATTCTAGTTTCTATCAGAGTTGTAGGTGTATCTGTAGTGAATGGTGGAGGCAGCAGATGGAGTAGGTTGGTAGAGGTGTGTTTCTGATAGGAGAAGATCTGAAGATTACTTTGAGGCGTGTCATAGAGCTGTGATTATGATATTCAAAGATCTGGATCTGAATCACCCCATGTGTGTTATCACAGGAAAGAGGTGTGTGCGCATCTTGAGACTCCAGTCTGTGTCATTTCAATATAGAACTGTGTAGGCTGTGTCAGAAGCATGGCACTTGGGTGTTCTCACCCTGGGTATTGTTTGTAGTGAGGTGGGATACGAGAGAAGTCTGGAGATTTAATGATGGGCAGAGAAATAATAGATTTAGGTGGTATCCTGTGTGAAAGCGATGTAAAAAGTATGAAGTGTCTCCTAAATTTTACAAGTGTGGTATTCTGTCAGGGGAACAGGCTCAGTGTTCGAGCATATGACAGGTGCAGGGAGCACCTCTCTCTTACTTGCGCACACTCTGCCTTTTCATTGTAAGTGAATCTGAGTAATTATACAGATATTTAGACTTGACGGGGTATAGGGATGAGGAATAGCTGCCACGAGGCCCAGCAATTTAAAAGGACCCAGGGCTTCCAGCCGCCACCACCACTACATCAGCAACAGCAGCAGCCTGAGTCCCAGGCCCTTTAAGTTGCTGCCAGAGTCTTGGGTAGCAGGCACAGGGTAGCACTGAAGGACTGGCTGGGGAAAGATTAGTCTCCAGCCCCGCCCTTTCCACCTAAGGCCTCACCCCCAACTATGAGGACTTAGAACCAGCCTCTTTTCCCTCCCCTCCCCCCTGCCCCCCTGCCCAGCACCTTGCCTAGAGCCTGGCAAAGTCTGACCACTTAAAATAGTTGAACTTTAAACAAAAAGCTGGTCTTAATCTTATCTATTAAGATTACAGTTGCTGTTCCACTGTAATATAGTCATATGTGTATAGATTTACAGACTGCTGTATCGTGCTATTTCGGTTAAAATGTTATAGATCTCTTGAACATGAACTGGAAGAGATAACATGCTTTGATATCAAAAGAGCTCATCAGAGATCAATAAAAATTGAACTTGAAAAATGAGCTTATTACTGTTTTGAATGAATCTGTAACAGGAACAATTTTGGAGTGAAAAATCAGCATGTTTTTCCCAATTCCAACTATTAACGACGTCTGGAATTTTCAGTAAATCATATGATCAGAGTAATCCAAAATCATTTGTTGCTTTAAAACAACATACAATAGACACTTTCATGTTGCTTATAATGACAGCTTAGGATACAAAAATAACTAGTTCAGTGTAGATGTTAGTCCATTAGGGAGATGCAAAACAGGAAGCTGTAAATGACTGTAATCTTTACGGGATTTTTTTCCCTTTCAATGATAGAACTAAATTATATTGCTGAATGATGTATCTGGAAACTAATATAAATAATGAGGTTTGAAGGCCCTAAAATCTTATATAGACACTGGTATTATGCTATTAAAGGGAAACAAACTGAAAATGTCTTCTTTGTTGATAAGATCCTCATAAACATCAACCAGGGAAGAGTTAATGTTGTCAGTGTCCCTTTAAACTCTTTCCTTATGCTAATTGCCTGCTAACTCCCTTTACCCTGAGCACTCTCTGGACTTTATGCTGAAATCTGTGGGTCTCAAACCAATACACAGTCTCCTTTAGCAAATAATTAAAAGAAAATTGTGTAATAAAACAGTGTCCTAAAAAAGCACAGAGGCATTTTTCCATTAACCCTTGAGAAAGTAAGAAAACCAAATCCAACTTACCTATGAGCTCTCCAATCATAAAGAATAGATAGAGAACTGCAGCCAGGGTCAGTCGTTTTTTCACCTTCCTCTGTTTTGATAGTTCCCTCTGTTTACTGCAATTGCTGCAAGGGTCTGTCCTGGAGGAGCTAGTCTGTGTGCTTCGCAAAGCAATATCCCGGTCCAGCAAAGAATCATCGTCGGACTGCAGACCTAGGTGAGCCCCATTGACAGGTATGTCTGGAGCTGCATCCGAAGTGTCATCAGAAACTACCACTCGCAACTTGTTAAACCGGGGACAGTCCTCCTCACCCACTTCTTCAGAAAAATCAAAGGCACTGGTGTCGTTCAAGAACAAGGGATCATCGTTCCTTCTCAGCATAGATTTGATGCTGCTCCAGACCTTGGACTGGGCCATAGTAACTGCAGCCAGGAGCTGGGTGTTGCTGCTTAGCTGCAGCCAATTCTCATGCAACTTCCCCTGGCAGGCAGAAATGCTTCATGTCACCGGCCATTCAGGACATTTCCTCCAAGCCTGAGGAAATCAGATAGTCACACGTTCAATTCATAAATCCAAGTGAAAATGCACCTGTGAGTGGGGGGTTATTCCAGGTAATCCTGTACTAACCAGCCCTCTTCCCGAACCTCTGACTCAGGCTGGACTGACCACCTCCAGGATACCAAACAGGCAGTAGAAGCACACACACAAAAAACCAGAATCGATTTTAAACAGCCCCGTTCGTGTCCCTCCCCTGGCCTACTCGCTGTGCAGCTGAACAGCGAGCACTGACTACAGTAGCAAAGGCGTGTTCGATACCGACCGAACCCAGCCCTCCTCGCACAGAGCACACGGGAACAAATGGTGACACTCTCCTGTTTAAAATTATGCTGAACAGCTGTTGCTCAGGAATCTCAGGTTTGCATTGCTGAAAAACACAGGCAGGTCCAACCTGTGGGAAGGGCTCAGTACCTTGGTAGGGCTAACAGCACCCCCGCCTCCATGCAATTCAGATCCCTCGGGTGTGGACTCGGGTCATTCTCTGAACTCCCTCGGAAGGGGCAGCACCTCGCCAGAAAAGGCTGCCCTGGTGCCGGGCAAAGCCAGCTTGGGACAAGCCACGGGAGGATCCGGGCTTTCCAACAGGAGCATGCAGCAATCCCTGAGTGAAGAGGGAGGAACCGCACCTCCCTCTGCAAAGCCAGCGTCGGGCGTTTACTCCTTTGCTCCCGGCTGCTGCATCTCTCTCTCTCTCGCTTGCTTTCAAGACAACCAGGCTTGCTACTGCTGCTGACTCGCCGGCCATACAGGGCGCATGCGCCGGCCCCCGTGTCGGGGCCGTGCGGGAGAGAGGCGCAGTAGCTCGGAAGGGGGCTGGCTGGGCGCATTGTTCGCATTCCTCGGTCGGCACTCAAAGTGGCGCGCGGTCTGCAGCCGCCTCTGCTATGCCGCTGGTCCCAGCCTAGCTTGGCACAAGCCCTGCGGGGTCTCCCGCTGGGCCTCTGCCTCGCCACGCGCCCGTGGTGAGCAGGCTGCTGGCTTGCACGCCGGGGACGGGGCGCAGAGAGAGAACCGCGTCGCATGTCCTGTTGTAGGCTACACAGTCTCCCTGCAAATCAAAGGGTTACACAGCGAACCCTGGGCTTGTGGCAAACTGGGAGTTGTAGGCAGCGGAGGCTCCTGGGGTCTGTAGTGAAGTTGTCTGAGATGGCTGCCTCTACAGAAAGTTACAGCTTTTCCAGTCAGGCCAGTGGTTAGATATATAACTATCGATCTCGGACCTACAGCCCAAATGTTTAAAGTGCTTTAACTCCTGATGCCTGCATGCAAATTGAGGGGCTGTGTCCTTGTTTAACTGCATGCTTGTACTTGGGTGGGATTGGTCCTGCCTTGGGCAGGGGGTGGACTTGATGACCTCCTGTGGTCTCTTCCAGTTCTATGCTTCTATGACCAAATGTCCCAAGTGGGCTGTGCCCATGGAAGCTCATGGTACCATCTACATGTTTTGTTAGTTTATATAAAGTGCTACCAAACCATTTGTTGTTGTTTTTTTTCTGTAACAGACTAACTCGGCTATCCCCTGAAGTTCCGATTTTCTAGAGGTCATCCCCTTTCATCGGTTAACCTGTTATCCCCTGGTTGCGTCTCAACTGGCATGATTTTGCGGAAATACTTTTAACAGAAAAGTTTTTCCGTTAAAAGTATTTCCGCAAAAGCGCGTCTAGATTGGCACGGATGCTTTTGCGTAAAAAGTGCTTTTGTGCAAAAGCATCTGTGGCCAGTCTAGACGCGATTTTGCGCAAGAAAGCCCCGATTGCCATTTTAGCCATCAGGGCTTTTTTGCGCAAAATAGTTCTTTCCTGTCTACACTGGCCCTCTTGCGCAAGTATTCTTGCGCAAGAGGGCTTTTTCCCGAGCAGGAAAGTATTTGCGCAAGATTTTGTACATTACAAAGTCAGTGCTCTTGCGCAAATTCAAGCGGCCAATGTAGACAGCTGGCAAGTTTTTGCGCAAAAGCGGCTCCTTTTGTGCAAAATCTTGCCAGTCTAGATGCACCCCTTCTGTTTAGCTGATTAACCAGTTAAACTGGATTTTACATTCCTACTATGTGGATAGGAAAATGGCTATTCTGGGTAAGTATATTCATTAATATTTCACATATTTGTAATGTGGTTTGAAAGACTTTGGCTAAAAAAGGCACAAAATAAAACTAAATGTTCTGTTACTCTGTAACCAGTTACTTCTATGCAAGCCCACTTTACCACACAATTTGCACACCAATAGGATTAACATAAGGACTATATATATATAAAGCCCATATTGTTTTTTGAGGTGTGGAATTTTAAGAAGCCCAGGAGTCTTGAGAGATTTGCACATATCAGAGTCCTCTTTGAGATGGCTAGACTGCTTAGTACTGAAGTCATGTAAAAAATGTCTTGAAAGTTGCATCTTGTTTCTGTTTTCCCCAGTACCTGTGGCAATAAAGGCAGGATTGTCTACATTCTGTTTCACATGCCTGTTCATCTGACCTGGCACAGTAATATAATCATTTTGCCACTTTGGGGAGCCCTCTGTGCACCACTTTCCTGACTCTACTTAATGAAGTAAGGAGTGTGAACTGCTTCCCTTTGAAGCTGAGAGCTTTGCCACTGATTTAGGGGGGAGAATACAGTCAGGTGCACCTAGCCTTTGCAGACCCCTACAGGATGCCTTGGAGTCCCACTTCCCCCCAGACTCCAGCAGCAAAAGTAGGTGCTTTAGCCTAGTCTAAAGAGGCCTCACAGAAGCAGGAAATTGGAGCCCATTAGACTCAGATAAAAAGTTTCAGAGGTTAGCAGATCAGTTTTTTTTCTGGGACAACAGGAGAGAAAAAAGGGGCTTATCTGTGGCCTGGAGATAGATAAAAGGAGCCTGCTAGGAAGAAACCCATGGAAGTAACAGCAGTTAATTAGACTAATCAGTACAGGGTTGCTGTGTGTAGGATTCTTAGGTTGGAACCTGGAGTAGTGGATGGGCTTGAGTTCCTCTGCCACCCCCAGGTAAATTGTCTTAATTTCCAAAGAGGGAACAGGGCTTAGTTGGGAACCCAAACAAAGGGCTGAATTTAAAAGGCCAGGTGCTGGGGCAGAAGACCCTAACAAGGACAAACAGACTGTCTGTTTATGGGACTCTTAAATGTCCTAGGAGGGATTCATGGGACTTTTTGATTTGACTGGAGAGACAAATAACTGAAGAACCCACCAAGGGCAGAAGGGAATCTCCAGAGGTCCCAAGGAGTGGGAAAAAGACTGCAATATGGCACCCAGCAATAAAGAGGTGCTCAGGAAGTCAGTGTCACTCATCACATAGAAGAATTAGCTTCTAGGTATAAGGTTGGCAAAGCTATTAATTGTAATTAGAAAAGTAAACTTGAATATGTTACATACTGATATGTCAGTTGTATGGTGTTGTAAATAAAGGTGTTGTTGAAACTGTCATTTTTAATGTTGTATACAATACTCAGAAGCTGATATCTTAATTCTGGTGCAGCTATGGGCAGTAATTTTTGCAAGAGGGCCACTTAATTCATTTTGGTATGTGGTCATGGGCTGGCTCCACTCCCCAGAAGGGGCGGAGTCTGGGACAGAAGAGGCAGTGCTGGGGACTATCCTCCCCTCAGAATTGTCTGGGACCAGAGGCTTTGAAGTAAAAACACAGCAAAGGGTTTGTGGCTTCCGGCCACGTCACTACTGCATTGCTTGACAGCCATCCTGGGTTGCTGCAGCTGTTTAAAGGGCTCGCCGCTCTGGCCCCTAATGGGGTAGTACCACGACTGGGAGCCATGAGCCATTTAAATAGGATCCTGCTGCCTGAGACATCGCCTGGACATTTGGTGACCCGGGCAACAGGATAGAAAGCAGCCAGATGCTGTCCACGGGCTGGATCAAAGTGTTAGGCGGGCCAGATTCAGCCCCCGGGCCACATCTTGCCCAGCCTTGGCCTAGAGTGACCCCTGTTCGTCACAAAGAATCTCCATTTTGCCAACTGGGAAGTTTAATATTGGCTTCAATAGCATCAGGAACTGGCTCAGTGCCTACCAGTAAAAGCAGTGAGTTCTTCAAATACCATCGTAGACATAATTTTATTAACAGCCCTTAATGCATTTTTCATCTATGTCAAATGTTTTGCTGCACTTTCAATCATTCATTTTGCTATAAAGATACTTTGCATTTAAACAGTTTTTTCATTGCTGAAGAAGCAAAATAAATATGTAGTGTCAGGCTCTTACCCAGCAATTGACTCCACAAAGTGATTAATACAGGAATCTCCCTATGATAAGAAAATTCCTAAGTTCTGTTGTTCCTAGATTGGTGTATTATGACACCAGTAGAGCCACTGAAAGAAGGCTACCAGAAGTCCGCAGTCCTAGCTTGAACTTTTAACAGCCCTTTAACAATTGTGTTCCAGCCTGATCTCTGTAGGTAGGTCCTACCCTCCCTCTGTTCTCCACACAAATTACAATTTTATTTTCTCACTTATTTCACCATCCGTCTGCATCTCTTCCTGAACCTCCAGGTATTATAAGAATCCCAGATTCCCTTCTCTGTACCTCCAGATCTCTGTTCCCGAGCACCTACATATCAGTCTTGACCTACCCAAACAATTATTTGTATCATCTCTCTCCAGCCGATCTCTGTTATTTTCAGTCCTATCTAGGCATTAGGGAGCCAACTGCACAGGCACCTGTGCGCACACACACATGGCTATTTTGCCTCCTTTTATTGGTTTTCATGACAGTCTGCATCTGTGAGTCTGATGGTGACTCCATCACGACACTGGAAATGATTTGGGCTCAGGGGAACAACTACACACCAGGGCTACGTCTAGACTGGCATGATTTTTCGGAAATGCTTTTAACGGAAAAGTTTTCTGTTAAAAGCATTTTCGGAAAAGCGCGTCTAGATTGGCAGGACGCTTTTCCGCAAAAGCACTTTTTGTGGAAAAGCGTCTGTGGCCAATCTAGACGCGCTTTTCCGCAAAAAAGCCCCGATCGCCATTTTCGCGATCGGGGCTTTTTTGCGGAAAGCATATCTCTGCTGTCTACACTGGCCCTTTTGTGCAAAAGTTTTTCGGAAAAAGACTTTTGCCCGAACGGGAGCAGCATAGTATTTCCGCAAAAGCACTGACAATCTTACATGAGATCGTCAGAGCTTTTGCGGAAATTCAAGCGGCCAGTGTAGACAGCTGGCAAGTTTTTCCGGAAAAGCAGCTGCTTTTCCAGAAAAAGTGGCCAGTCTAGACACAGCCCAGGAGACAGGACAGGGTATGTTCAGCTCAATGTAAGGGACAACTAAAGAAGCTCATATTTACTGTTACCCCCTTTGACTTGAGTGGTTAGTTGAAGTTTGGGGCTCTCTGCCAGTGTTCCAGTGAAGAGTAGAAATTATGATGGAGCCTGGCATTTTCTTTGATGCAATCTTGTTTATGTATAAGGAAGGTACAAAGTCCTGTTTCTGTGAACATAGCAGGAATCCCCAAATAGCAGGAGGCAGTGCTTTTGTTTTCCTTTCCAAGCCTATCTTTACAGGCAACACTACCCTTAGAAATCTTTCTATCAGGGCCACATTACTTTTCTGACAGGCTGAGTCTCATAGACTTTAAGGTCAGAAGGGACCATTATGATCATCTAGTCTGACCCCCTGCACAGTGCAGGCCACAGAATCTCACCCACCCCTCTTAGAATAATCCTCTCACCTATGTCTCAGATATTGAAGCCTTCCAATACTTTGAAGGCCCCAACATGCAGAGAGTCCTTCAGCTGTGATCTGTGCCCAATGCTACAGAGGAAGGCGAAAAACCTCCAGGGCCTCTGCCAATCTACCCTGGAGGAAAATTCCTTCCTGACCCCAAATATGGCGATCAGCTAAACCCTGAGCATGTGGGCAAGACTCACCAGCCAGACACCCAGAAAGTTCCCTATAGCAACTCCTATCATCCCTCCATTGACCTATTTCCAACTGGAAATGAATGGTCAATTAGTTACCAAGATCATGTTATTTCATCCAACCATCCCCTTATCATAGAATCAGAACTGGAAGAGACCTCAGAAGGTCGTCAAGTCCAGCCCTCTGCTCTAGGCAGGA